TTTGTTTGTTTGTTTGTTTTCTCAGTTACAACTGGAAATTCTCCTCCATGTTCATCTTTGCCCAGTATATGATTTGGAACAGCTCAATACAATTAGCAATTTCAGTTCAGAACATTGCCAGTATTGTAAAAGCAAAGTGTGACATGTCCTACAAATTAAGATGCACTGCCAAGTATCTTCAGGGTTCCTTGGCTCTGTATGATTAGCTCCCCCATTCATCATGTGTTCATGCAGAATTTTACCATGCCGTCTTGAGAGAATACAGGTGCCCAAAATTCAAGATGTAACTGAGTTAGAGGATTCTACTGCTGGAAGAAAACTTAGAATCTACTAAAGCCAACCTCATTCAAGAATCATGGAAAAATCTTAAAGTCTATTTAGGGCAGTTTTCAACTGTGGGTTAAGATCCATTAGTGGGTTGTGAAATCACTTTGGTAGGTTACTACTTGATTGTTTTAAAAACTGAAATAGAATAAAATAGACTAGAATAGAAAATACCAAAGCATGTCACACAAAGAACAAGTAAATATTGTTTTGTAGAAATAAAAGCATGGATAGGAATAGAAAAGAAAGGCATTTTAGTGACTATAACAACATGGATAAATGTGGGAAAGTAACAAAAAATAAGGAATGTGCAGGATTATCAAATAGTTCATGATGGTTATTGCTGAATATAAATGTAGATGACTTATGAGAGAAAAAACTGGACCATTACTAGAGCCCATATTGCACTGGGTCATGAGAAACAACTGGGGAATTAATATGTCATTCAGGAGGCAACAGAGAATCATGGAAGTTTTCTGAGCAGGGAATCAACATGATAGAAAGTGTAATTCTAGAACTGTATGGAAGGTCATCTTGTACAGAGATCAGGTAGCATTTGTAGTAATAATCCAGACAAGGAACTCAAAATCTATGTGTGTCAAATTTCTTCCTGGCTCAGGGATTTCCACAGGATGTTTCTTTTGCCTGGATGCTCTCTACCACAGCTGCTACCACCTTATGCTTAAGCTATTTACTCCTAGGTTTTCATATATCAGTGAAATTTCCTCTCTGAGGGAAACTTTCTGACCTTCAACACTAGGTTAAGATACATATCACACTTACAATCAAATAATTAATGTACTATTATTTAGCGTCTGTACCATCTGCTAGAATGTAAGCAGAGGGACTCCATAGCAGAGGGACTTTGTCTTGTTCAAAGCAGTATTCTCAGCAGAGTGGTGCCTTTTAAACTGTTGATTACTGATAACTTTCTGTTGAATAAATGAAAGAATGTTGATAGTAACTACAGAAAGAAAATTAAATGCAGAAGACATTGTAAAGGAAAACCCAGCAGGACTTAGGGATTCATTAGATAATTGAGCAAGGAAAAGGAAAGAACCAAAGATTGTCATTCCTTCTCTCAACAAACATTTGTCCCATATACTGTGTTAGACTTTAGGAAAATGGAGATGAATAAGACATAGTTTCATGGGCAAAAATCAGAACAGGGGTGTCTGGGTGGCTCAGATGTCTGAGTGGCTTAAGTGTCCAATCTTTATCTCAACTCAGGTCTTGACCTCAGGGTTGTGAGTTCAAGCCCCATGTTGGGCCCCACACTGGGCAGACAGCCACTTGAAAAAAATAAAAATTAAAAAATTAAAAAAAAAATTAAAGCAAACTTTTGCATAACACTTACTCTATGGCAGACACTGTTCAAAGCACTTGAGGCACATTAACCTGAAAACAACTTCACAAGACTAAATTCACTCTGATAAGTGGCAGAGCTAGGATTCAGTTCCAGTTTCTTAATTACCCTGCTGTACTGCTGCTTCAGCCTGAAGCAAGGAACACAGACAGGTAAACAGATGGTCACAAAAGGACATCATAATATACGTACACACATGGTCCAGGAAGTAGCCCAAAGAAGAAAGTGGTTATCTATCAAAAAGGGAGGGTCCAGGAAAGGCTCAATGAGGGGAAGTGACATGAAACTGAGTTTGGGGGGATTAAATTGGAGTTTTCCATGTGGGAAACATGATGGGGAGACCACTCTAGATGACAGCTTTTCAAGGCAGGAAAATATGAAATAACATGATGTTTAGGAGGGCCTACAATAAGTTTGGAATTCCTGGAAAATTCCTTGAAGCAGAGGACAGCAAATGGTGCTAAAGAGGTTAGAAGGAGAGTTTTGTCTATCACCCTAAGGAGCTGAGACCTGATTCTGAAGGCTGTAGGAAACACAGAAGCATTGTAAGCAGGAGGAGTGGATGGTATATAATACAAGATCAGACTTGCTTATTAGAAATATCATGAAGCAGATAAACTGAGGGGTAATCTAGAAGCAGAAAGACCGATTAGGAGACCACTGCAATCAGCCAGGTAAGAGATTATGGGACTAATATAAGGCAGTAATAGTGGACACAAAAAGAAAAGGATGTATGAATTCTGCAGAGCTTGGAAAGGCACTGGATGTTGGGGAGAGAAAAGAAAAAAGTAAGGTCTTTTCAAGGTTCTTGACTTACACCAGACAACTAAAGAGTGGATGGGACAACCAACCAAGGGAGAGGATCTCAGACATTCAAGATGGTGGATTCCATTTGCAGCTCATGTCATTAGGGATAGTATGACTTTCTAGGTAAAAAGGAATGCACTCAGTAATGTGGGGTCTCCATTAAATAAAATGTTTGAAGTTCACAGTGGACGCCATGGGTGCGAATAAAGTCATTGAGAAAGAACAAAGCAAAGAGCTGAGTGCTGAGCACAGAACCTTGAGGGATTGGTCACAGCAGGGTGAGAAAAAGGGGAGCCAGGGAAGTAAAGTAAACGTGACCAGAGAGGCAGGAAGACATTCAGCCAGTGCATCACACATTCCAGAAACAACCTCCCCATGGACTACCATCTGGCAAATTCCTGCTTGTGTGTTCTTTCATTTCATGCTCACGTCGTGTTTCCTACTTTGGAAAGGCTTCCTTGATTGCCTCTTTCAATATAAATCCTTCTGTTCTTTGCTACCAACTGCTACTTGTGTATAATTTGCTCTTTATAGAAACTATCCCTTCATATTTCTGTCTGAATTTGTCTTAATGCTTGACTGTAAGCATCCTGAGGACTAGAATAATATTGAATCCATTGCCTACAGAAGATGCTTAATAAATGTTTGTTGAATGGAGCAGTTTGGGAAACACTGAGTACCATTTAGTTTCCCTCAGAATGGGCCAGTAGAAAATCTATCTAACTGTATTCCCATTCGATGTTCCTAATTACAATTACTCGCAGTTCTCCAAGTAACCCCTGTTGATCTCTGTTCCTAGAAAACTCATCTCATACTAATTGCCTAATGAAGTCCTACTAATCTTTCAGAGCCCAATCACATCTTCCAGGAGGCCTTTGTCACTGCCAACCCAGACATCAAACCACCATCAAAGCCCCCAGACCCAAAAGTTAATCATCTCTCTTCTGTAGGAACTCTGTTTTATGCAGTTTGTGATTCCACATTTTTTTTTTTTTTTTGCCCTGACTATGATTCTGATGTGTTCATCTCTGTGTCTCACATCGTAAACTTTGAGCTTCTTCGGTGGAAAACCAATGTCTTGAAGATCTGTGGCTCCAGCAGCTATCACAGAAGCCAGCACATGGTGGTGGGTACTTGGGAAATGGGTCAGGAATTGGATGGTTCACAAGCTTATGGCCATCATGTGGGCCACCACTAGAGGGCACTAGCAGCTCAATCAGACTGGCAGTACTTAAGGTGTTCCCATAGGCTGAGACTCCAAGACAGGGCCCTTTGTGAAGGCACCAGAACTCAAACTTGGACTTTTTTATTTCACCCTGGCAACAGGACGAAGGTGGTTGCGCTTATTTCTGCCTCAGTGTCTCTGTTCTGAATAGCTTATTGGATTTCTAGTTACCTTTTCATCCTCCATGCTCTCTCACATACATGTGTTCTCCTTACCTCATCAGGTATGTCTAAGGAACAACTCTATTCACATCACCTCTTTTTAGCATATTGTTCAAAGCCCTGTGCAGTTGCCCAACCTGCCTTTGCAATCGTATGTCTGCCACTGGTCCTGATCCTCCCTCATCCTACAAAAGCTCAAGAAATATTTTTTGAACTGTGAAGTAATGGTTTTTCCACCAGGGCCCATTAAGTCACAGACCGGAGACGAGTGATTAGTTCCAAATGATCTGGGCAGGATAGAGGCATGCAAAAATGAATAGACAGTGAGGTCAAGCTAAGATTTCTAACATAAACGCACACCTGATTACCTAGTAGCTGGAGCCTTATCTGACCTGAAACTGGCTCTACTCTTAAGTCCCTGTGTGGAGTCATTCAATTTTTAAGGTGCTATTTTAGTTTATCAAAAGTTAAATATGCTCTCTACTCCCATGTTCCATTGGAGAAGTATATCTGTCATATTAAGATACTTCTATCAATTTCCATAGCCTTCTTGCTAAAAGTTTGTCACAGTTAGTCACTCAGAGAATTATAAATATCTGTAGCCTCTGATGTGGTTGTGTTGGAGGAAGGGAGGGGAAAAAATGAAGAGGAGAAGGGTAGCAGTTGACTTTTGAAAAGCCATTGCCATATTAAGTATTTTGAATTGCTTCGATTGTTCTTTTCCATGGGTTTGAAGTTTATTGGACATGCTGCTATGAGTGGGTATGGCCTCATGTTGGTAAAGTTGTGAGGAATGGTTGTTTTTCTTGGCCATGTGTTCATATTGTTTTTCCAGCAAGGGATAGTGTATTTCTCTTGAAGAACTATTAATAACTTGTTTTCATCTTGTGAACAGTGTGCCTAACCGATGGTGCTTCCCTCTTTGCAATAGTTGTGTTTGTACAATGGCTGAAAGCTTTGTGTCTCACTTCTGATGGACTCATTTTTCAAACTGAATAAAAATAGCAACCATTATTGAATACTTATTATGTTCCAGGCACCGAACCTTATGTGCACTTAATCCTCACTGCTTATAGTAATTTATAAATTAAGTTCTACTTTTATCTCCATTTTACAGATGGAGAAAACTGAGACTTGGAGAAATTGAGTAAAGTGCCCAAGGGTTACCCAGCCCTAGTTCTATGTGATGCCAAAGTTTGCATGGCAGGTATGACACCCAGATCACAAATACAGATACATATAAAATACCTCATTTGTTTATTTTTATAAAATTAACCCAAATTGTTCTCTAAGCTTGTTTTGCCAGGGTGGTAGAAAATTCAGGGGCGCCTGGGTGGCTCAGTGGGTTGAGCGGCCGGCTTCGGCTCAGGTCATGATCTCGCGGTCCTTGAGTTCGAGCCCTGCGTCGGGCTCTGTGCTGACAGCTCAGAGCCTGGAGCCTGTTTCGGATTCTGTGTCTCCCTCCCTCTGCCCCTCCCCCATTCATGCTCTGTCTCTCTCTGTCTCAAAAATAAATAAACGTTAAAAAAAATTAAAAAAAAAAAAAAAGAAAATTCAATTCGAGTCACTACTGGAACACACCATACCATGAAGCTGTGCTGTGTGGTCCTGCAGTTAGTTGTAGTCAGTACTACATCATCTGAGATACAGTCATTTGTCTACTTACTGAGTCCCAGTGTGATCTTCACTGTTCCAGACTAGAATCCAATCCTTCTGATCTGGCCATTCTCTTGCTCCATCTCACATTTGAGGCATCAAAGGGCATCTTTGGAGTTTGGAAGTTTGGAATCTGGTGTCCAGGGTGCCACTCTCGTGGTATATCGAAGAGACATTCCTACTGCCATGGGCCACCTCCCTGGAATGCTATTTTTGCTACTGAACAATGTGTGGGTCTTGACTTTGACCTCTTCCTGAGTTTCTCAAAATCCTGTCTACTGTCATCTTCAGGGTAATAGTAGCATAATTTCTTGAACAAGCTCTCACTTCACATCACAAAGAGCCCTTTACTTTAAGCATCTTCTGTTTTCCACTGTGAAAAAATACCAGAGGCTAAGAAATAACAAATGTTTAGCTGTGAGGTAGGAAAATATAGGAAGAATAAAGGTAAGCTAATATTCCCATAAATTGTTCTGCCACATGTGTTTTGTTTTGTTTTGTTTTTTAGGTTTTTCAGATGGGTTAGTCTGAATGGGTGTGGGTTTGCTGATAAGGTATAATGAGTTTTGATGACTGTGTCTTTTCCTTGAAAGTCTATTTTATAGAACCCACTGCCAGGAATAGTAGTATTTCTCTTAAACCTCTAGTTTATTTTTGTGTGATGGATACCATGAGTCATGTGACAGACATTTCCCTCTCCGCAGGTCTTTTGGAGACATTTCGATCAGATATGTGTCTGTGTATTCTGATATTCCTAAGAAATATTTTCTAGGCTGAGATGTTTGAAATAAAGAGAGATTTGCTTTAAAAATACTTCACAGGGGCACCTGGGTGGCTCAGTCGGTTAAGCGTCTGACTTCGGCTCAGGTCATTATCTCACAGTCCATGAGTTCGAGCTCGTATCAGGCTCTGTGCTGACAGCTCAGAGCCTGGAGCCTGCTTCAGATTCTGTGTCTCTCTCTCTCTCTCTGCCCCTCCCCTGCTCGTGCTCTGTCTCACTCTGTCTCAAAAATAAATGAAAACATTGAAAAAAAATTTTATAAAAAAAAATACTTCACATTATCATATATGTCAGGACATGGTAAGGAGGGAGACTAATGAAAGTGGCCTCTGATTCAGTCTTTTAAAATAATTTTTAACATTTCTCTTTTTAAATATATAGATTCTAGATTTTTATGTTTAACTAGCAAATATGGTGTTACTACTAAGTAACACTTGTTTAGACCTGATATCACAAGTATAAAAGAAAACCAACAATATAATGCTTTCATCTTTGTTTCTCCTTAAATATTTGTTTTTCCTTCGTGGAACTGGGAGAAGAGAAAGTTTCAGGTCACCCCAGAAGGCACAGAATTGCTGGGCCAGCCATCTAGAAGCAAAGCACAATATGGACCTGTCCGTATTTATACCTCCTCTGCCCCAAGGCAATTCCATAGACTTGAACCTCCCCACCCTTCAGAACAGGAGAAAATTGAATTTATTTCCACTTAAGTTCCAGGAGGTTGCCATGTTCCCCATGGGCACTCAATAAATATTGACTAAATTGAATGTTGCCCTGTGTTATCTTCCTTTCTTTCTTTTTCCTTCCCTGGTCCTCTGACTGCTTTCTTGGGGCCTTGAAAATTATATATATATGTATTTTTCAGATTCTTTTTGTCTCATCAGCTCTCAGTGTGAGGCCTCTCTATTTTAATATCACCTCTTTGTGTTTGTTTTCTCTGTGTGTCTTCTCTCAGTTTCTCTTGGAATCTGTTCTCTCTCTGCTTTCTTTTTCTGAGACTGTCTCTCTCTGTTCCTCTACTCCTCCCATCTCTCTGTCTCTCTGCCTGTCTCTCTCTCACAGATGTACCTTTCTGTATTTGTGTTTGTTCTCCCCCTGGAGTTATCATCTGAAGGGGTTCACAACAAGCCTCCCCAAAATATGCTACATAGTCAGGTAGATTCTTTGAGCTGTAGTCAATGATGTCCCAAAAGACTCAAGGAAGAGTTTTTACCATCCCCTTAGCTGCCTAAAAGAATTTAGATAGAGGGCCTTGTCCCAGAAGAGAACAAATCACCAGATGAAACTACAAGGAATATGGGACAGGTATGGTAAACTTTCTGTGTCCTATTATCTTTACTTTGCATGGCAAACATCTGTTTACCACACATTTGCTCTTCCCATTTTCCTGTGAATTGTCTTTCTCCCCTTTGAAGTCTCAGACACCTACCCCCTTCTTAGCTCAAGATGTCAATAAGCCTTAGTTGCCTGACTGTCTGGGGGTCTCATATTGTTATGGCACTCCCATATGCAATTAAATTTGTCTTTCTCCTGCTAAGTTTTCCTATGTCAATTTAATTAATAGACCAGCCAAAGGAACCTAGAAGGGTAAAAGAAAAAAATTTTCCTCCCCTACACATCAAAAATCGTTGCCTTTTTTTCCCAAGAGATTAGACATATTTGAAGATTTTTATAAGTGCTCAGAATAATTAATTTTATGCTTTCCCCCCCTTGAAATAGCATGTTTAGCCCCTAAATATGGGAATGCAGTAACAGTGGATTGGTCTGTATCAACTACAATACATTCTAAGTCATGTAGAGTGATTGTGTCAACTCTCCTCTGGATTTTCTGTTTGCACTCTGCCCAGACAGCACTGCATTCCTCTGTTCCTTCTGACACAAATACGGCAACATTTCACCAGGCGACTATTAGCCTAGAGGGAATACTAACCTCCCCCTTCCCCTAGAGTTTATATCCCGTTCCAGTAATTTGGCCCCAGATACTGGCACAGAAACACTGGTTGCATAAAGTCCCTGGAGCCTGATACTTACTTTTTGTCCTCTGTGCCTCCAATTTTAAAAACTGAAATGGGACACTGGTTTGCTATTACTTTCCTACATTGACTTTCTGGTGAAGATTTGAAGGGTGTGGTCAACTGCCTCTGGGGTTTCACACAAGTAACTGTATTGCCTTGGGCATTAAAATTAATCCTCCAAACGTTATTGGTAAAATAACATACTAATTGCTATCTAAGAAGGTATATGGAGGATTAAACTTTAAAGGTCCCTGGTACGGATAGACTAAACAAAACCTTTGCCCTTATATTTAGGAGAAAAATCATATTTTTTTCCCCTTAAGCTCTCAATATTGAGAGCTTAACATGTGCCAACCACTTTATGCAAAATATCTCATTTACTCTTTACAGCAACTCTGCAAGTTAACAAGATGACCCACGTCCTCGTTTTGCAGATGAGGAACTGAGGCTAAGAGAAGTTAAGTGACTTGACAAAAATCATAGCAGAACTGAAACTTGTGTGTATTTTCACGTTATTGAAATCAATTTTTGTGCCTAGAAAAGAGCTATTCAAGATTATTTTGGTGCAAAATTAGTATTCAATTAATTTGAAACCCTTGTTTTTCTTAAGCTTGTATGCTAGTTTATAAATTGAATTAAGAAACTTATCAATTTAGCAAGTTTAATAATTACTTTGAAGGAATACTTTACAACTTAATTAAATTCTTTGAATATCTAGCCACATTTATTAATATGCTATATTTTTATTTCCTTTTAAGTACATTGTGTGACTTAACAATCTTTCCAATAACTTAATTAATTCTTATAAATCTAATAAATTAAGTTTTTAGATATGGTGAACTTCAGTTTCTCTTAAATGTTTCAAATGAAATTTCCATCTGAAATGTTAAGTCTAAAGCAATGAATCAATTACTCATTTTAACTTGGAATTATAAGATTGACCTCTTATTCTAATAGGTCTAATTTTCTTGAACAGTACAAATAATTAAACTTCAAAATAAGCACAGATTCCTAAAGACAAATATTTTAATGCTTTTATATTTTGGTTTTCTTATTCATAAAACAAAATTTTGCTATCATTAAAAGATAAGGACACAATGCTATCTCCCCATTGATTTTGATGTTACTTTCCTAAAGTAATTTTAGGAGATGCCTTCTCAATTTTCTGGGGTTTCTTAAATACCAGAAATATCAACAGGACATGACTGGACCCTTATCTGTTGGGACAATGTGTCTGTTGGGACACATTGAGATCTATTTACCTAAGTCAGTTCTCTCTGTGGTAGACAGCATTCCAACATGACCTTTAAGATTTCTGCCCCCTAGTGTGCACAACCTATATAACCACCTCCCCTTGGGTGTGGGTAGAATTTGTGAATATGAGGAGTTATTACTCTTACAATTGTTACATTACATGGCAAAAGGAATTTCCCAGATGTGACAAATTTCCAGATGGAATGAATTTAAGTTAATCAAAGGGGGGGAATTTCCCAGGCAGGTCTGATTTAATCAGGTGAGCCTTAAAAGAAGCCAGAAGCAGTGAGAGTACTCTCCTGCTGGCCTTGGAAAGGACTTTCAAGTCTGAAAGGAGGTCATAGCCCTGGATGACACCTTGATTTCAGTCTTGATTTCAGTCTGATAAAACTCTGAGCAGAAGATCCAGCCAACCCACATCCAGAGTCCCCCTTAGGAACTGCCAGATAATAAATTTGTTTTGCTTTAACTTGCTAAGTTTGT